TTTTTTTTCACAAATTGTTACTGATTCGTGACTTTTAACGTGCCTCGTATCTCGTAAGAAAATTTCAGAACCTATAAAATACAAAAAGCTTAATAAGCTTTATTTATATTTAAAGACAATATTCTGACAATATACATCACTATAGAAATAAACCTAAACCTGGCTAACCTACACTGCTGTATTTAAATTTTTTATCTTACCGTGATGGCTAATGGTTGTACGAATGTTTCGAAGAACAAAAAACCATAAATAATTTAGTAATTTCATACTGTATTGCACTCTTTGCGCACTCTCCACCATCTCCACCGATTCACACCGCGCAAAAGAGAGTGGAGAAAAAGTCACACGAGTGGTCTACGGAGTACGGTTTTCGAACGGCCATGGTTGCATGGTCAGTGTGCCCACTAGGAGTTTTCGAACGATCTGAGTGTGACAAAATACACACGGGTGATGTTTTCGAACGCACCCCAGTGCAGTGATGTAAGTTTGGGTACGCTTACAGCATCTGTGGCCGAGGTTTTTGCAAAGTGAAAATAATAAAAACTATTGAATAAACATTAGAATTATATCAAATCTCTTAATATTATATATTAATTATAAAATAATTTATGTTCTTTTACAACACAAATATATAATATTATATATGTAATATTTGACAAAAAATATTGTTTATTGCAAAATAAAAGCAATTTAAACAATTAATTTTGCCTCCCTTGTTACTTCATTATTTTATTTTACTCATTACAATAAAATTTTTGAAGGAGCAATGCTACCTACACGATATCGTAAAGCATTCAGATTCAAAAGCTCTTTAAGTACTCATTTCCATGACCTCGTTATGTGCTCATTTCCATGACCTATTTATGTTTTCACAAAACGACGCATTGGCCAACATTATATCCCAGATAGCCAAACCTGTGCGAGCAGATTTTACGCAGAGTCTGTCAACAGTATCTGTTGACAGAATGGCAACAGACTGCACACAGAAACTGTTTTAGCAGTCTCTGACGACAGATTGGTGACAGACTGCGCGCAGAACCTGTCGACAGATTCTGACGACAGACTGACGGCAGATTGCGCGCAGATTCTGTTTCCTAGATAGGCTATTTAATTCTATTAAGGGCCATATGTACGTTATTAAATGGGGCAGTTTCACATACACACCATGCTGCAGAGAAGTCAAGA